TTGACATTGTAATGCAAAACAACCTGTTCCATTAATTAATTGCTTTAAAATACATGTTGTAGTTTCCTTTCATTTAAAATGGTTGAGGTAAGCTTGGGGGACTCAAAGGGCACCCGATTGTTTGTCTGAACACCTTGTTTCTCTTGTGCATTAAGAACACTTGTGTTAGGACATGAATTAACAATAAATAGGTTATATACAGTATAACATACCACGTACTGTCCGCCCTCCCATGCCACCCTGGCATGACCTCTTGCCCCCCCTTTGCCCCCCCATGTAAACATTTCTAGAACCGCCACTGCATATGAGTCATTTTGTTCTGGGACCGGGCCTGCCTACTGTATATGCGGCGAGCCTTCATTGTAACTGTCACACTGTGTATTTGCGTGGGGAGTGTTGCAGTAGAACATTCCTCTGTAGCGCCCGGTGCATTAATGGGAAACCCTAAATGTTTGAGCACCCTCTATGAAACGTCAGCTACCCCACAGCACCCCAAAAAGAAATATCTGGCGCCGCCACTGAGCCTGACTATTTGTGTTGGGGGGGCCCGACTTGTTTTTTTCTCCAAAGGGGGGGCCTGACAGAAACAGTTTGAGAACCACTGGGTTAATCCAATGTGTCACTTTGAAATTATTTCTGATAATCCATCAGCAATAAAACTAGTTCTAAGTTTTCAGACAGGAAGGTAGGTTTGGGCAAACTGCGTGCACATAGCTCTCATTTCTCAATGGTAACGTGTATGTGGAAATTCCCCTTCGATTCTATTGGCTCTAACGGTTAAAAAGAGATGTCGATCATCAAAATCGTTGTTAATAAATCAATTGCTGCCAATATGTCTTTATTTATCAGACTTTCAATCATCCAATCCACCCAGGGCCGTCCCTCCCTACAGGCCGATCATGCAGACTGCGTGGGGCCTCACCTTGCAGAGGGTGCGGCGCACCTATGCGCTTATGCAGCGCAATTAGTGTGGCACGTCGACGCTTGCGAAACAGAGGGCCTCTTCATATAACTTTGCGTGGGGCCTCATGTTGGCCAGGGACGCCCTGAATCCACCAAACAAGAGTCAACAGAAAAACAGCTGTTGATTGGCAGAGGAGATTTGTCACATTTGTCATGGGCGCACCCCACACACTCAGCTCTGCTGCTCATCCCACAAATGCTTGTTCCTCACAAATGTGGTTCCATTGGAAGATAAGAAAACAGGCTTTCCAACGGGATGAGATGTATTGCCAAAAGGCATTGTTACAACACAGAAATCATCTACCATGATTCTTCTCTGACATCATTACCAAACACAAATTGCCTTACGTTTTTTTTAAAAACTATTTTACAACAATGATACTGTACATACAAATATTTAGACAACGTATACATATACCAAATAAGTACAATAAAAGATAACAAAATACTGATAATATTCGTTTTTAAAAGCAATAAAAACTGAAATATGTTCTTTAATGGAATGTAAAGTGGAGATCTGTGCAGAGTTCTTAAAGACGAAGTGTAGAACTGAATGTGCATGAATGGGTTTCTAAAGAATGCACCGATGAGGCTGTAATGCTGTTGTGAAACCCTCTTGCACAAGTTCCTGAAAGAAAGCCATTGTTTAATTGTTTAATCACCAGGCCAACCTGTTTATGCCTGTGCTGTGAGCACCACGGCCCAAACCACCCCCTGACCTCCTGTCACACCACCGGGGAAATCCAACCAGACTCCACAAACCAGCTGATCAACGCCACCGAGACACACCTGCTTCTCAGGTCAGAAATCTAAAACACGGTGATTTATTACAAACCCATCAGGAAATGTCTCTCATCCAGTCTTTGTTTTTGCAGAGTGCTCACAGGAGTGCCGCTCTGGTACACGATGCTGCTCGTTTGCATCCTTGATGATGTTTATCTGCGTATTTATGACGTGTGCTAAAGTGAGAGAGAGAGAGAGAGAGGAGGAGTAGGAGGAGGAGGAGGAGGAGGAGGAGGAGGAGGAGGAGGAGGAGGAGGAGGAGGAGGGGCTGGGATCAGAGGAAGGCCGCAGTCTGCAGGTTGAATCGGCACCGTGACTTTAGTCCTTTGTGATAAGATTAAGATTAAGATGGACTTTTATGAATCCTCGTGGGGAAATTGTTTCTCTGCATTTGACCCATCCTAGTGTTAGGAGCAGTGTGCTGCCATTTTGAACGGCGCCCGGGGAGCAGTGTGGGGAACGGTGCCTTGCTCAGGGACACCTCGGTAGCACTTGGTCTTGCCGGGACTTTAACTGGTGACCTTCCAGTTGCCAAGCCAAGTCCCTATGGACTTCGCCACCACCGCCCAGAGTCTGGGTCATAGTGCACGTCAGCGTTTATCAGACTTACCAGAGTGTCATTGATTAGATAGCTTTCCAGTGAAGCAACACATCAGACCAAAGCGTGCAGACAGAGGAGAAGTGAGGAGAGGGAAGGATCTACAAGCCGAACAGATCACAAAGAGACACTTAGACCCCACAGATATACACAAAGCCACTACAGAGGACATGGATTGACTAAACAGACATGTAAGACAACCACAACATGACCTCCAGGAGACCAACAGACTGAACACACTCTGGAGACCACATAGAAAGAAAGGTGTCTTTTAAAAGATGCCCAAAGAAATGAATGAAAGTTGAAGCAGAATAGCTAGAAAAGGAATAGTGGAAAAAGTACTACAAACACAACATGACTTTAAACAAACACAAATGACCACAAAGGAAATGCAAACAGTTTGAGTTGAGAAGAGCAATTATTAGTGCTCGCCAAACCACTCCTGGGAAAGATGGTGTTTGTTACAAAATGCTGGAACACATGACAGATAACTCTCTAGTCATTGTGTTAAGGTTGTTTAATAGGGTGTGGGATTCTGGCCAACTTCCTTCAGAGTGGAAACAAGCGATAATAGTGCCCATCCTGAAGCCAGGGAAAGACCCTTCAGATCCATCTAGCTACAGGCCTATTGCCCTGACATCTCATTTATGCAAAATCATGGAGAGAATGGTTACAGAAAGGTTAACATATATCTTAGAAAGTAAAGCTCTGTTGTCCCCATATCAAAGTGGGTTCCAGAGGGGTCGGAATACAATGGATTCTATATTGTGCTTAGAATCAGACATCAGGAAAGCACAGACCAACAAGGAAGTAGTGATTGCAGTCTTCTTTGATATTGAAAAGGCTTATGACATGCTCTGGAAGGAAGGACTACTAATCAAGTTCAAATCATTGGGAATTGGTGGTAAAGCATATAATTGGGTTATGAATGTTTTACTGGACAGGAAAATACAAGTAAGAGTAGGTGCAGAATATTCAAGTGTTTATGCTGTGGAAAATGGTACTCCGCAAGGTAGTGTGTGTAGTCCGTTGCTGTTCAATATAATGATACATGACATCTTTAATCAAGTTCATCCAAGTGTGGGGAAATCTTTGTATGCAGATGATGGGGCTTTGTGGGCAAAAGGCCGCAATGTAGCACATGTTGGAAAGAAAATACAAGCTGCAATAGTTGAAGTGGAGAAATGGACAAATAAATGGGGATTCAAACTGTCAGTAGCTAAGACGCAGGTCATTTGTTTTACAAAACGGCAGAACATTGCTCCTATATGGTTAAAATTGATATGAGCAACCTCTTGAACAGGTTCATACAATAAGATTTCTTGGTGTTTGGTTTGACGGAAAGCTAACATGGAGCAGTCATATAGGAAAAGTTCAAAATAAATGTAAAAAGGTCAACAATGTACTTCGTGTTTGGCGGGGCAGGAGTGGGGAGCGAGTAGGTCATCACTTCTGAATATATATTGGGCACTCATGAGACCTGTATTCGATTATGGGTGTATAGCGTTCATGGCAGCAGCAGAATCAAACCTTAAAAAGCTGGATGTCCTACAAGCTCAGGCCCTGAGAATTTGTAGTGGAGCTTTTAAAACATCTCCAGTATCAGCAATACAGGTGGAAATGGGAGAAATGCCTTTAAGGATAAGAAGAGTGTAGTTAATGTTGGCATTCTGGGTAAACCTTCAGGGGCACAGTGATAGTCATCCTGCGAAAAGTATTTTGAAAGACTGCTGGGAGCACAATGAGTCACATTTGACCTTAGTGATGTATGTGTGTCAATCATACTTTAAGTATAATACAGGTTTCAATCATACATTAAGTATAATACAGGTCTCAATCATACTTTAAGTATAATACAGGTCTCAATCATACTTTAAGTATAATACAGGTCTCAATCATACTTTAAGTATAATACAGGTCTCAATCATACATTAAGTATAATACAGGTCTCAATCATACTTTAAGTATAATACAGGTCTCAATCATACTTTAAGTATAATACAGGTCTCAATCATACTTTAAGTATAATACAGGTCTCAATCATACATTAAGTATAATACAGGTCTCAATCATACATTAAGTATAATACAGGTCTCAATCATACTTTAAGTATAATACAGGTCTCAATCATACTTTAAGTATAATACAGGTCTCAATCATACTTTAAGTATAATACAGGTCTCAATCATACTTTAAGTATAATACAGGTCTCAATCATACATTAAGTATAATACAGGTCTCAATCATACTTTAAGTATAATACAGGTCTCAATCATACTTTAAGTATAATAGGAAAGCATCCAACCGGAAAGTGTACACACTGCAGCCAGCCAGAAACTGTTGAGCATGTTTTACTGCTTTGCAGGAAATATAGTACTCAGAGAAATGTGCTTTTCCAGACACACAAGAAAGCAAAATGCCATGACTTGTCGCTATCAGGGCTGTTAGGGAAAACATCAGGCAATATATATTGTGAGATTATTAAATTTCTAAGAGAAATTGATACATTTAAAATAATCTAGAGTTTTGGTTCTTTCTTTTGTTTCATTTGTTTCTTGTTTTCTGCATAGTTTCTTGTCTACACTCCAGTCCAGTTGGTGGCGGTAATGCGCCAACAAGTTGGTTTGCCAACCGCCAATAAACACGGAAGAAGAAGAAGAAGAAGAAGAAGAAGAGGACAAAGGACAAAAGAAGAGGTGAGTGGATTAAACCTCTTAGTTTACAGTTAATCACGAATCAGAAGTTATATTATTTAACACAACAGCTGTAATCTTGGTAGAAAGAAACTCACAAAAAAACTTTAAAATGTGCGACAAAAATAGTCTCAAACTATCTTTAAATAAAGGCTAACAGCTGCAGTCTAACAGCTACAGTCTGAAAGCTACAGTCTGAAAGCTAACGGCTATCGGCTAATAGCTACAGTTATTATTCCAGTTCGGCTCTGGGGGAGTAACAGTTGATATGTAATGCTCAGCTGACTTTATGCTAGTTATTTATTACACCAGTTGTCTTTAAGACGGTTTGAGTTGTTGTGTTGGTGCTCTTTACCATAGATATGGTTTTAAATATATGCTAACTAGCTTATTAGCATCGCCATTCACGTGACGTAGCATTTTTCCCATTGAAATGAATGGGGTTCTTCAGTTAGCAGCTAACGCTAAGCTAAGCGACGGTTTAGCTCATTAGATAAATAGATATACTTTATTTAAATAATGATTTATCTTAAAGTGGGAAATGAATGTGTCACAGCAGAAGTGTTTTCAGGCATTACACGAGTTAAACATATTTAAAAGATGCAATAAGATAATACAAATGAAGCATTAGCAGCAAGTATACAATCAATCAATCAATCAATGTTTATTTATATAGCCCAATATCACAAATGTTACATTTGTCTCAGTGGACTTTACAGTTTGTACAAAATATCAGTATGACAATACGACACCCTCTGTCCTTAGACCCTCACATCGTACAAGGAAAAACTTCCGGAGAAAACCCACAGTTTAAAGGGAAAAATGGGAGAAACCTCAGGGAGAGCAACAGAGGAGGGATCCCTCTCCCAGGACGGACAGACGTGCAATAGATGCCGTGTGTAAATTGAAAAGATAATACATTTGCAACATAGGTAGTCCAAATGTTTGGAAATGCATGTGTGTATAATAGGAAGATGAATCCACGAGGATATCCATCCAGGACCTATGATCCAGGACCACAGCCACGACTCAAGATCCAGGGCTCGCGATCCAGGACAGAGGAGCGCAGGATCATCCATGACTCCGGATCCCGGCGTATATAGACACCAAAAGAAAGACATTTGGGGGAAGCTGGGTTAATCGGAACATGAGAGTACACAGGTATAGACAGAGAGAAGGAAGAAGTAAGATGTCCCCCGACAAACTAAGCCTATATCAGCAAAACTAGGGGCTGGATCTAATCAGCCCTAACTATAAGCTTTATCAAAAAGGAAGGTCTTAAGCGCACTCTTAAAAACGGATAGGGTGTCTGCCGCCCGAACACAAACTGGAAGCTGATTCCACAAATGTGGAGCTTGATAAGAAAAGGCTCTGGCTCCCATTGTACTTTTAGAGACTCTAGGAACAACCAACAACCCTGCATTCTTGGAACGCAATGCCCTAGTAGGACAGTAGGGTATAATGAGTTCTTTAAGGTAAGATGGCGCCTGCCCATTAAGGGCTTTGTAGGCGAGAAGAAGAATTTTAAATTATATCCTGTGTTCTATAGGGAGCCAGTGTAAGGCAGCCAGAACAGGAGTAATGTGGTCCCTTTTCCTAACTCTGGTTAGTACACGAGCCGCAGCATTTTGAATCAGCTGAAGCGACTTGACTGACTTCTTGGTACACCCTGATAATAAAGAGTTACAATAATCCAGCCTTGAAGTAACAAATGCATGGACTAGTTTTTCTGCATCGTTTTGAGGCAAGATATGCCTGATTTTTGCAATGTTACGTAGATGGAAGTAGGCGGTCCTTGAAATTGATTTTATGTGGGCGTTAAAGGATAAATCCTGATCAAATATAACACCAAGATTCCTTACAGTCTCACTGGAGGCCAAATTAATGCCATCCATAGTTAGTATATCCTTAGATAATTTGTTTCGTAGATTCTTCGGGCCAAGTACAATAACTTCAGTTTTGGTCGTGTTTAACATCAAAAAGTTTAAGGTCATCCACGTTTTTAAGTCCTTAAGGCAGTCTTGAATTTTATTTAGATGATTAATTTCATCAGGCTTGATTGATAAATATAGTTGAGTATCATCCGCATAACAATGAAAGTTTACAGAATGATTCCTACAGGACACATATCACTAGAGTATCTAAAGAATACACAATATACAGAAAATACTGTATACATGGAGTACATTAAACAGTCTCACTAGCTAATGTTTGCTTTCTGTGTTAACTTAGTGATAGTTACACACGGATAGCGTTATAACCGTGGTTCAAACAACCATTAATGTCACTTTCTATGTGAATAAAGTCATTTAAATTAAATAAAAGTGAACAAACTGTGAGCTGTAAGTTAGAATGTAAGTTGCTACACAGATTATGATGAATTATATCTAAATATTTGTATTATATTAATAATAATTTACACAGAAAACCAACTTTTTATCGTAATGGTTAAAGTAATGTGCATGTAACGTTAATAACTATCTGACCTTTGTTCTCCTCTGCTTAGCATCACATTGACTAAATGGATCAATTTGGAACATGTTTATGTCACAGCAGCATAGATAAGACAAGGCACTGCACATGGTGTGATAAAACACTACATATAAGCATCTAGAAATAGAACATATCATTGAATAAACTCTTTGAATTCCTCCTCTTCACTGCTGACAGTTTATGATGAATTATATCTAAATATTTGTATTATATTAATAATGAAGCAGCTCTGTGGTCTTCATCAGGACAGCTGATGAGCAGCATGGAGGAGAAGAAAGAGACCCCTGGAGCTCAGGTCAGTGTGCACTTCATCACAATATATTCCTAATTCCAGCCTTTCCGCCAGGCGGGCGTCTTGCCTTCATTTGACGCCCTTATTCAGCTCGGAACGCCCTATACAGACATAAATAAAGCAGTGACTGTATTCACCATGACACAGACAGTCTGTGGTTTGTACTTGTTTAACTTCTGTCTAGTTTCTGAACAGATATGAGGAGCTGTGAGCTCACAACTGTATCATCAGCATACATCACATTCTCCACACACAGAAGGCGGATCATTTATGTACATACTAAACAGGATTGGGCCCAATACAGAGCCCTGCGGTACTCCAGTTGACAAACACTAGACTTATGGTTCTCAATTTGAACACAAGGAGCTGTTGTTGAGATGATTGATGATTTGTTTGGCAATCAATTTCTCAAATACCTTGGCTACTATGGGTAAGATACTGATGGGCCTATAGTTGGATGTCATGAGAGGGTCCCCACCATAGTTATCAAGAACACAAAACAGTTCTTTAGCCCCTCTGTCCTGGGGGTTGTCAACATGGATGTTAAAATCACCAACAATGACTAGACGTCAAAGTCAAAACACACTATAGACAGCAGTTCAGTAAAGTCATCAAAAGAAGCTAAAAGAAGCTAAGAGCACAGCTGAACTCCCGCAGCCCTGGGGGGCCCCTACATTGGTTGTGACGGCAGATGACAGGGTTTGGTCAAGTTGCTCTCTACTGGTGAGGAAAGCGGCATACCAGTAAATCAGGTATGGATTTACTTCCATTTTTGACACCAAGATGTCTGCTTGTATTGTGTTGCTGCTGAGAAGTCTAGGAAGAGGGCTCTTGCATAGGTGTGACGTTTATCTAAATGTTTAGTGATGATGTGAACCAGAGTAGCAGCAGTACCACCCCCTTGCTTATAGGCAAATTGGTATGGATCAAGTATGTCTTGTCCTTCACAATAGGTTTAGCTGAAGAGGTCATTCCTGTCACGGTTCTCATGGTGTCCCACACTTTTTTGGGGTCTTAGGCTTTAAAAGCTTTCTCAACTGGTATAGCGAGCTGCTGCATGGAAGTCAGTGACGACATTTTGTCAGTGAAGGAGGAGACAGGGATTTTAACAAATGATTGTGCGTGAGGTGCGAGAGGAATCAGAGCAGCTGCCTTTGCGGCTGAGTCAGCAATTAATTAGCAGACCCAATTTCTTAGGGAAACTGGGTCTGTACTGCTTGCGTGTGCGGCACATTTACAGACTGCAACTTCAGATGGGAGCAGAGTGGCGTCTAGTAAGCCTGCAACCAGTACATGGTTAAGTACTGGTTTGCCATCAGATTTCAGAAATTGTCTACACTTCCAAATAGCCCCAAAATCGTGTACTACCCCAAAAGCATAGCATAGCGTCAGTGTAAATAGTCACGGTTTTGCCTTCTGCAAACGTGCAGGCTTCAGTTAGTGCGATGAGCTCTGCTGCTTGTGCTGAGACATGGGATTGGTCCGGAACGGAGTACAGCAGAATCTGAAACAACAGGGAAAAACCCACCCGATTAGTGCCCCCTTGGTCGCGAGAGGCAGACCCATCAACATACAAAATGAGGTCAGCGTTAGTCAGAGGAACGTCTTTTAAGTCCGGTCTAGGTGTGCACACCATGAGAAGTTCGTCACCGTCTTCAGGCAAAGGTCAATAAGAGGGTTCTTACACCTTTTCCAAAGTCAAATTCAAGCACTTTTCAAGCATTTTCAAGGTGCATTTTCAAGCTTTTCAAGTATCTTACAGCTGTTGTAAATTACATATTTATATGCACATACTCAAATGATTATTTCCCTACCTCACATTAACTCAGATGTTCTTTATGCTATAAACAACCAAATGTGTGTTTCGTGATAGCATTCTACACGAGGATGAAAAATGAAAGAAAAGAAAACTAAGTTTAATATTTCAAAATGAGTGATCTGTACGTCTAAAAACCGAATTCAGGCGACCTTTCACCTCCACTTAATTAAATGCACTGGTTGCAAGATAAACATGTGAGTTAATTGATCTAGATAAACATTTTAAGTTGCAACATTAATTTATAAGTTGTGTTGACGTAATAATGTTGGTAATTACATCAACTTAATATTGTGTGTCATTTGAACTCTGATTTCTGTGTTAATTGACTTCAAACTAAATTCAAGTTGAGGTAAGTAATGCAATTGGCTTGATAACTTATTGTTCTACACCTTGAGTTAAGGATTTCAAGTCCACTCCCACTTAACAGGCCTGGACAAGTTCCCACAGTTAAGACAAATAGAAATATACAAAGGACATTTTAAGGTGAGTGTCATCTTTTGTCATTCAAATACAACTTGAAATTCAAACTCTCCTGATTGAAACATCATGCGTTGAAATAAACAACTAACTGCAGTTCAAAAATAAAAAGTGAATTGCCTAATATTTTTGTTGTGGAATCAATTAATTTATTTCTTTAAAGGCAAAACATGGAAAAGCTAAGAGAAAAAAAACTATTGAATACAATATTATTTGGAGCAACTTAATTTACAAATGGTTGTCAACTTAAAAACATGTGTCCATGTTCAACATGTGGTAATTAAGTACATACAACTTAAGATTACATTTAAATCCTACGGTAAAACAAGTTGGAACTTTTGGAGTAATCAACTTAAAACTTGTGTTTATGCTACCAATTATTAAGTAAGTGGTAATTGAAAACACCTGATTGTAGAGGAAAAGCCTTCTCCCCTAACTCAAATAACTTTGTTGCTTTAACAACATTTCATTAGAAGTTGTCTTAACTCAATAACCATCGATGCAACCTATTGCCTTGATTCTCTTTGTTAAGCCAAGCATTTGTTTTTAGAGTGTACGTAGACTGGGCCTCCCATATAACCTGGCTGAGCCGATATAAAAACAATCAGCCAAATAACTTTTCAATACATTATTGATTACTATTCTTTTAGGTACTTTTAGGTTGGCAGTGAACATAAGTCAGAGGTACATGGTGTACTTTTCCTCCACTACATGTATTTAATACCTTTAGTTACTTCACAGATGTGGATGAATGATGTGAAATCTAATCAAGTGTTGAATCAGACTTTAGTTCCACCTGGAGTAAATCCACCAGCTACCCTGCAGTATACAAAGTCATTCAGACTAGCTGCACCTTCACCAGCTTTGAGAACACTTTCATGATCAATCATTATAAAACATATCATATATATTATTCTGAAATGGACCAATCTGCACAATGAATACTTTTACTGCCTTCACTATATTTTGATGATAATACTTTTCTACTTTCACTTGAGGAACATTTTGAATGCAGGACTTTTACTGTAACACTCTGGTACTTCTACCTTTACTCAAGTACAAGATATGAGTACTTGTACTTTTACTCAAGCACAATATCTGAGTACTTATTCCACCTCTGGTAGTGTATTAGTCTGAATTGTAGCTACAAAATCACGCAGAGCTGCATAAAAATAGCCTCACAATGGTAACACGTGGAAAATAATATTTACAAATGTGTACAATGATTTGTAGGTAATTTTGACTACTCAAGACACCTGACTTATACAAAGGAAGACTGTGTTCATTCTATTGGCTTTCAGAATATTAAACTTGTAACGGCATAATTACAAGCAGAGAACGGACTAATGTAACATCACAGCAAGCATAAAAACAGCCGTGTGTTATGAACAAACCGGAGGAGTCAGGCATGGAGGGAGGTGGCAGAGACAGTGGGTGAAACTGGTAGGTTTTCGCCTGTTCGGGGAGTTTATATCCAGTTTATTGCGTTTTAACATTGCTATTGCTTTGTATGTCGGGGGCGGGAGATTCATGTGATTGGTTGTTGGTCGCGTTGCTCGCAAAAAATCGCCAAGCTTCAGACACGACCAGCATCAAGATTTTTCAAGATGTTTTTCATGCCTGTGTGTGGACGGGCCGTAATCCCCGAAGCTTTTTGTGAAGCATGTATCGAGGCTTGTATCGCTTTGGGCCAGTGACGTCATCGATGACAAACGAAGCCTCGCTGCCTGTCGATACCACGTGACTGCTTCAGGAAGCCATTCAGATGGGTTGAACCAGCGCCATATAGATATCTATCTATATAGATACCAAGTGGTTCGATGCTTCATTCAAAGCTTCATTTTGCCATCACTACAGAGTAGGCTTGTTTGAGACGCGTTGCGGCTCGCCTCGAAAGTAGACGAGAATAGCCGATCGCAGCCGGGGGAGGTCTCAAAACGCTCGCCTGAAGTCGGACAGCTCGAAGTCGGCTTCGTCTTCTTCTTCTTCTCTCGGTTTTTTGGCGGATTGCAAACAACTTTAAGGTGCATACCGCCACCTCCGGAGTCGGCTTGACTTGGTTTGCATTTATAAAGAATGCACAAATGTGTTTAATCGTTAATGTCAGATATGTCCTAAGTAAATACATTTGTTCCTGCTCAAGATTAGATTCAACTTTATTGTTATTGCACATATTACAGGTACTGAGACAACAAAATGCAGTTTAGCTTTTAACCAGGTGCAACAAGCAGTAAAGTGAAAAGTAATGTACAGTAATGTACACAATCTACAGAATAAAAGATAGAATTAATTGAATGATGAATAAACAGTGAGGGGTATGAATAGGCAAGGCAAGTTTATTTATGTAGCACTTTTCAACACAAGGCAATTCAAAGTGCTTTACAAAAAATGAAAGACATTCAGAAAATGGCATTTAAAATCAGTCATTAAAAAGAAAAGCTAATAAAATAAACATTAAAGAAAAAGTACATGGATAAAAGTTACAGTGCAGTCTAAGATATGAATAGTTCAATTAAAAGCAGCGACAAAAAGAAAAGTCTTCTTACTGGATTTAAAAGTAGTCAGAGTTGCAGCGGACCTGCAGGTTTCTGGGAGTTTGTTCCAGATATTTGGAGCATAATAACTGAACGCTGCTTCTCCATGTTTAGTTCTGACTCTGGGGACAGAAAGCTGACCAGTCCCTGAAGATCTGAGAGATCTGGATGGT